GAGCATTTTCACCCATGCAGTTCATTTAGATTTTTCACTCCTGCACAGAACAAAAAGGCTTCTTAGCAAAAGAACTGGCAGTAATTGGGGTATATTAGCAGAATGTTTGAGCAACAGTGATTATAAGAGTGCAGTAAATAACAGGGCTGAGTTGCAGTGGTGTGGAGAGAACTGCAAGTTGTATGTTTTGTCTGTGTATGCAGGCTGGCACATTGCTTTTGTAGCCACAAATCAACCCATCTGTATGATTTACTTTCTCCTCCTACTGTCTCCCTTTATTATGTTAAATCAATCATCCCACTGCTCTGTGATTTATGGATTTTTTTTATTTTTTTTTTCTGGGAAGGTGTCACAAAGTGAAAAATGGAAGTTTTGATATATTAGTAAAACCAAACTAATCTGCCTAGGGATTGAAAGAATTTAGCTTCCTCTTGGGTGAATTCTGACAGATGATATAAATTTCCATCCCTTCCTCTTCTTCCTTCTCCTCCTCAAACCACACCTGGCTGCAAAGAAAGGCCTTGAAGTAGGTGGTGGCCAAGACCTTTCTGTCAGCCTGTCCTGGCACACCTTGATGTGCACCCTACAATGCCTGTGGCCCTTTAGGGCTCTGTGTCATCTCTGCATGAAGTCATGGGTGGATGGACAGATGAAACTGAAGAACTCAGCCCCATCCCAGGTTGCCCTGATGGCCTCCAACAGCTGACTGTGGCTGGCATCAGCCATGGCTAACTGAGTGCTCAGTGACTCCAAGGATGGATACGCCATCAGCTAGCTGTCAGGGCAGCATTATTTGGTATGGTCAGTATTTGTCTTCACCACGGTCCATACAAGGAAAATCTGACAATGTGGAAGACATTTTTCTGGGAGGGAACAGAAAAGGAGTGGAGGCGGAAATGTCTGGTCAAATACAAAGGCCACATCTGAGGAGTGCGGCAGTCCAAACATACTAGCTTACCCACCAGCCCATGCGCTCTCCACTCCAAACCTGGACACAGAGTTTTATTTTATGTTGGATGAAGAGGCAGAGGGGCAGGTATGGCCCTACCACTGCACTGTTCTCTTTCAGAAATGGAGACATCATCTCTCCACATCACATCCCTTTAACTGTGCTGAGTGAAGCTCATATCACTCCTGTTCTCTTCGCTATGCCATGGGGTGTGTGTAGCCACAGGCCCTTAGAAGCTCATGTGAAGGGTTTACACCTCCCTAGACCTATTAAAAGCCCTTTGTTCTTTTGTTGAGGGAAGGTCTACTGTGTGTCTAAATTGCATCTCCCTGTCTCCTGTTCTTGCCAAGGGTGAAAAGCAGCTACTCCCCGAGTCCAACTCTTCTCCTTTGAATTGGAGGCTTGAGAGGCAGCAGATTGAGAGGGTAATGATGCTTATCAATTAAGAAAAACACACTTCTAAAAAGCTCATAACACCTTAACTACCTTATAAACACACTACTTTTTAGTAGCATAATTCACAATTATGTTGCTGCAAGTAATATGAAGTGAAAATTGTATTGCTTATTGCTAGTATTAGTACCGAGACATAATTATATTACTACAAAGAAATCTTATAAATCATGCCCTTATTAAGCTGCAATTCTACTGCTTTTCTTCCTGCACTTAGTATTAAGGTACCAAGTCTGTCCTTCCTTTTTATACCCAAATTCAGTGTTTCTAACACTACTACTAGGGCATTTTAATCCTATTATGGTATTACTGATACAATTCTTTAGATGGAAGATTTCTTACGTTACAAGACTCCCTCCACACTGGTAGCATGTGATTTTACATTTTTTTATTTGGAGGAATAGAATTACCTTACTTTAGCCTTATTCACTTACCTAAGTTTAATTAAGCAAAAGCAGTTTCTCATCTCAGGTACAGAGCTTGAATACCACAGCAACAATATTTGTGCACTTTGTTCTCACATCTCTGTACTGGGACAGTTTTCAGCACACTCCCACTTTCCATCAGAGTTCTTGGCCAGTTTTGGAGCCTGGTGTCCCAGCAGGACCCCTTGGCTGATGACCCCTAGCCCTGTGGCAGACCTCACATCCAAATTTCCATAGATCTGCTCCAAGAAGGCATCACTGTGGGTCAGCCCAGCTACTTTATTCCCAAAGAGGCCTGGATCACCTCCCTGTGTCATCCTCCACTGGCTTGGTGGAAGGAGATGAGCCAGTTCTACTTCTTGCTACTCAACTGCAAAGTTATGGTGGGGAGAGGAGGCAGCCCAGGTTTCATTTTGCACCAGTGCCAGGAGGACCCATCTCTTTCTTTCTTCATGAGCTTATAGCACCTAAAGCACCTAAGTCTGAGCTTTAGTGCTGTACAACTGTGTGCTCTACCATTACAATAGTTTTTGTGTGTGCACGTGTGCATGTGTCATACATATTTATACACGTATACGTATGTGTATATATATAAATATATGCATGCATATATACATCGATATTTTTGTGCATATATAAACACACACACAAAAATATATATGTATTGTGACTAACACCAGTAACAAATAGTTACTATATGCAGAGTAAAGTATGTATGACTGTTGGGTTTGTGTGTGGCGGGGTTTTGGTAGCGGGGGAGGGAGCTACAGAGGTGGCTCCTGTGAGAAGCTTCTAGAAGCTTCCCTGGCTCCAAGTCAGACCCACCTCTGGGCAAGGCTGACCCAATTAGCAATGGTGGCTGTGTCTCTGTGATAACATATTTAAGAAGGGGAACTGAAGAGGAGAAGTTGTGAGGGAAATACCTCTGCAAGCACTAAGGTCAGTTGAAGAATGAGGGAGAAGGGGGAGCTGCATCAGAGCACATGGTGAGAGGGCAGGCTGTCCCTCTGCGGGCCATGGAGGACACCAGTGGAGCAGACACCCACCTGCAGCCCATGAAGCACCCCACACGGGAGCAGGTGGATGCACCCAAAGAAGGCTGGGACTCTGTGGGAAGCCTGCGGTGGAGCAGTTCGTTGCTGGAAGCCCAACGCCTACTTTGCCTCAGTCTTTAGCAGTGGAACTGGCTGTTCCCTGTACACCCGGGCTCATGAGCTGGGAGGTGGGGAGGGGAAGCAGACTGAGGTCAGCACAGTTGAAGAGGAGGTGGTCAGAGACCTGCTGCACCACTTGGATGCACACAAGTTTGTGGGACCAGATGGGTTACACCCAAGGGTGCTGAAAGAGTCGGCAGATGCGTTCGCCAAGCCACTGTCCATGAGTGACCTGAAGTCATGGCTAACTGGGGAGGTCCCACTGGACTGGAGGGTGGCAAATGTGACACCCATCTACAAGAGAGGCAGAAAGGACGATCCAGGAAATTATAGACCTGTCATCCTGACCTTGGTGCCAGGGAAGGTCATGGAGCAGGTCATCTCGGGTGCCATTAGAAGTCATGTAATGGACAACCAGGGGATCAGGCCCAGTCAGCATGGGTTTGTGAAAGGCAGGTCCTGCCTGACAAACCTGATCTTCTATGACAGGCTGACCTGCTTATTGGATGAGGGAAAGGCTGTGGATGTTG